TTAACGATACCATTCCTTCGTCAACCAGCCACTTCGCAGTATTCAAGATATGTTCATCTCGAATTTTGCTTAAGCTCTCAAGCTGTCTAGCTAATTGAATTTGCTGCAGAAAAGGATGGGAAATATCTCCCTTCAATTTCTCAGTCATAGATACTATGTTTTGTATCATTTCTTGTTGCGGAATTCCTTCCACGCATGTTAAAACGCTTTGCGCGTGCAAGATATTCAAATTGTCTTTGTAAGACCTGAACTCCAAGCTAGACACGTATCGCTCGAGATCTTCTTGAGTTTCACCACGGACAATTCTAGCTACTCCTTGTTTTAGTGAACCATCTGCCCTTTTTCTTCTTTTTGGCTGGCTTGGCGTCTCGCTTACACTTTCCTCCTACAAGTAAGATACAATATTTGAATAACCATCAGGGCTTTTGGGCGAATTGCAATTAAGATAGATTCTATATCAACGCTACGAGTTTCTGGTCAACCTCTTGCCGGCATAAAGAACTAACGCGCCAAGCGCGCAGCGTCAACAAACTAATCAGGGCGAGGTCTCAGGAAGTAAATAATTCCTGCATACATGGTGAAAATTTAGATTGAGTGTAGAAGGCGTGAACGTCTGAGGAAAGCTCCCTATTCCCTTCCAAACCACGGACCACTTGCAAAACAATATTACGTCTAGCATCAACACCGGCTTGTGCGTCATTGTGCACAGCGCAACTTGAACCTTTCTCAGTGCCCGCCGTGTCCGTGTCCGTGCATTGTTCTATTTAACAATTAGATTATGAGCTCAAGATTTCTATAAGGTGATAGTTGATGAGGCCGAGGGCCGAATCACTATCACTTCATGGAAATCGAGAGCGCATAATCTAATTGTTTTAGTAGAATTCTTACTAAAATTTACTTCAAATAACAGTTTCCAATTATTTCTTGACGCATTATTAAACTTTGCGCCTGAAAAAGGTCGCTCGGATTTAAGTGCCGTTTAAAATCGAAGTTGTGCGCGCGCATCAGCTTTTTCAATAATTTCAACTTTTTTAAAAGTCAAGAAACCCTAAATGTCCCTCGTTAGGCTTGTCCGAAATTCAATTATCCATTTGCATCAAAATTTTCCTCCAAAACTTGGGAAAAACGAAAAAAAGTCGCCGTTTCCAAGATGATCTCCAGCCACTGCACACTAATGGCTGATAGTGTTCAATGGTTCAGTCAATCCGATTACAGCATTTGCATTAGTATACCAGTAGAACTCTACTGATCAAGAACATAGGGTCAAAAGCACTGTTAAACGTTTTTTTAGCAATGCAGAACTTTCTTATATGGAGGTTTCACGGTGTAGCTTTCTATCTCAGTAACGATCTAGTGGCCCGAGAACCTCTCCTCTTTAAGTCTTAGTTTTTATTTGCTTACCTCGTCCTCTTCATCTTCTTGTTCTGCTGGGTTTTCTCCTACTTTTGTAGCCGCAGGTGATTGTTCGGAGATAACTTCCTCTTCAGAAACTCCTGAATGCGGAAATTGGTCTTCCTGGGTTTCTTGAGGAGTCGCCATCTGGATTTCGTCTTCCTGGGATTCTTGAGGAGTCGCCATATGGATTTCGAGTGATTGTTCGCAGATAACTTCCTCGTCAGAAACTCCTGAGTGCGAAAATTGGTCTTCCTGGGTTTCGTGAGGACGCGCCATCTGGGTTTCGAGCTTGCTACTGCTGGATGTAGCCTGCAACTCGTTTTCTGCCGTTGCTTCTCCCGTAGCTACAGAAGACTGTTGCGAGAATAACTTCACTCCAGAAACCTCTGTACTTTGGCTGTCTTGGCTTTCCCCGGTGCTGCTGGGTGCGAAAATGTCATTGGGCGCCATCCATGTTATCGCTGGCTGTACAGCGGCAGCATTCTTAAGGACAGGTAGAAGGAAAGTGCTTTCCAATTTGCCCTTCACCTGCTTTAAAACCCTACGTGTGCTTTCGTCACCAACATTACGTACTGCCATTAAGACCTCGCTTTCTACTTCGTAAAAACCAATGATCTCAAACCCATGTGCCAGATACAGGGGTAGAGCAGGTACGTTGGAGAATCCTCCTGCTAGAACAAGCCAGATGTAGGTACTAGCTCCATGGGGATCATTCTTTACTCTATTTCTAACCTCGTCTATGGCACAGGAAAGAAGAATGTCTCCTAAACACAAGGAACGCTTGTCAGCTCTTCTAACACAATAGCTGACCTCCCACATCAGTTTCTGGGTCGTGACCCTCATGTCGCTGGCAACTGCATGCCCTGAAATAGATGTTAATTTGCTGGCTTCGTAACTCCATTTTTTGAGCAAAATCAAGCCAGAGGGATCGCTGGACTCCTTCTCGAAGGCGACAGTCATGATGTTGTCGTCACTTTTGCCTTCATTACAAAACTACTGGACGGCGTTCTTGTAACTGCTGACGATCAGCCAGTTGTTCTTGTCTTCATCTAGGCTCAGGATGGATTGCAGTCTTTCTACTGAACACTTCGTCAGTACAGTAGCACCGTCATGAAAAGTCTGAAAAAATATAGAATTGGATAAGCACATGTAACTAAAGCTGTACCTGTTTGAGAGAGTTTTCTATTTGAACAGGATGACTCTAGATGCGTAGAACTCCATAGCATCTGCTCTCCACCGTATTTTCGCGTAAAATGCAGACTCTGCCAAATGAAGGCCAGGCCCCAGTTGTTCAAAATCCAAATAACATAACCCGAGGTTAGCGGGATAATTAATTGAGGAATAAAATTGTGTTTATTCATTGTTTAACTATCCTTCGATTAAACTCCATTAAGCCAGTAAAACCGGTCTGTAGCTGGAGTATTAGGGAAGGGAAGGGATAATTTTGATGGTTATGATAATAGTGATGATGATAATAATAATAATAATAATAATACATTTTTAGGAGGGTGCTATCAAGCTAAAAACTGGCTATCCCCTAGTGCCCCAGGACCATGGTTTGGTCTCAACCCTAAGGACTCTAAGCAAACATTACGTAAGGACGACAATAGTATTAATAATAATAAACATTCTGAGGAGGGTGCTATCGAGCAAAAAACTGGCTATCCTCTAGTGCCCCAGGACCATGGTTTGGTCTCGGCCCTAAGGACTCTAAGCAAACATTACATGAGGACGACAATAATAATAATAATAATAATAGACATTTAACGAGGGTTAAACACTTAATAGCCAAAGGCTAATAAACTTGTGGCCCTCAGAAAATAAAATTATGAATACAAATATACAGTACAATAAAAGTTCAAATCCTAAACTTATGAGACGTGAGTATATTAATTACGATAAGATTAAAAACTTAAATTTAAAATGTCAAATCCTAAAATGGTCCAAATGTTGCTGCGCTGCGAAGATCGTTTTCCTACAAAATTAATGCGAAGTTGTTGAATAAAGAGAAACAGAAAGCCCGATAGTTATATCTCAACTATACTTGTCTTCTATGAAGACTAACAAAAATGATTAAATTAAAATGAGATTTGTATGCTGGGCAAAGCTTACTGAATCAGGCATCACTGAATCACTGATCTTTCATGTTTACATTACAGCAGGCAACGATTTCTATCTCTGAGACCAAAAATGTTGAGACTTCTTGCTTCACACTAGTTGTGTAAAAAACTAAAAAGTTGGCGTATCGCCGAAGAATGGTCCGCCCATATTTGGTAACTACTCAGAGCA